GCTGCGCCCGGAAAGCCAGGGCTGCCCGTGCTGGACACCCCCCCCACCATCCCTGCACCAGGGCGGACGGCTCTACCGATCAGCATTCAGCTGGCGGCGCCCGCGCCGTGCTTGCTGGAGCGCCAAAATCCCCACAGTGACGGGCAGAGCCATCCTCACCCGAGCTTGCAGCTTCCAGACAGAGGCTGGGCTCAGGGACGGGAATCGGGAGGCCCCTACAGGCAGAGCCCCCCCAAGAGGGCCATGGCTGGACCCCGGGAGCTGAAAAACAAGGGGAAGGCAGGCGGGTGGCTAATGCAGAGGGGGCGCCCCTCCGCCCCCCGGCACCCACCACCCCCGGCAGCGAGCTGCAGATAATTGCACCAACAAGATTGACTTTAATCCGCACATCCCGATCCCGCTAATCGGCTGCTCCAGCCGGCGCCGGCTCCCAGCCTGGAGCTGGCAAAGCAGCTGCAAAGCGTCGTCTGTGGTGCCTGCAACTGTGGCCCCTGCCTGCAGCCGCAGCCCTGGCCCCGGGGACCTGCTGTGATCCCCCAGCAATGGGGGTGGACAGCAGCAGTTTGGGGGAACCCAGGGCCGCAGCTGGGGGCTTGCAGGGTGGGATGCAGCTGGCTGCAGAGGGGAGGAAACAAGTAGGGCAGAGCCATTGCATCGCTGCCTGGGGAGCCTGTGCGTGCTGGGGACACCCACTGCCTGCTCTCCTCCCCCCTGGGACCCTGACATGCAGGGTGGCACCCGAGCACAGCACTGCTGCCTGCACCCAGGGGTGTTCCCAGGACAGCCAGGGCTTAGCAGGGTCCCCTCATCCTGGGCACCACTGCAGAAACAGAGCCCTGCCCCAAGTGCAGCCCAGCGGTGTGGCCTGACCCCACACCAGGATGAAGGACCCAGAGGTTTCCAGTCCAGGGGCCATATTGGGGACAGCAGCATCCCTGGGGGCGCCCCCAGGGACCCACAGGCCAACAGCATCACCACAAGCCCCAGCAGCAGGGACCATCTGTGCTACAGTGGGTGCAGACAGCATCATGCATTGCTTACCCCATTCCATGGGCTTTAATCCCTCCACCCAGCCCCTTCCCACCCTCTGGGCTCCAGATACGTAGGGCACCCATGGGTGAGGTGTCCTGTGCAGCGCAGGGAGGAGGGGTCCCCACAGCTGGGGGACTCCAGCAAGGATCCCCCATCACCCCGCCAAGGGGCCAGCGGCCCCACTGCCATTGCTCACTGGAGCAGGCAGACCAGCACCCATGGGGGCCGGCACCCAGGGCACCCGCTGCTGCCTGCCCCCCACACCGTGGCTGAGGTGGGGGGAGCATCGCCCCAGCCCGCCTTGCCCCAGCCTGGGCACATGTGTTTCCAATGTGGCTGGGAGCTCCAGGGAGTCGGCGTGCTCAGAAAGCAGCACCAAATTCCTTTCTGATCGAGTAATGGGCCCCAGCAGCCTCCGCGGGGCCGAGCAGGGGGAGGGGACGCTTGGACCCTCCAGGACTGGGCTCGGGGCGGGGGGGGGAATCCCAGACTAAACAGAGGGATCCCAGCCGGGCGAAAGCGCGGCATCCCCTGGCACCAGCCCAGAGCCGGGCTCCGGCGCAGTGTCCTCACAGCCCCTGGCTGAGCCAGGCTGAGCCACCCCCAGGGGACGGTCCCCATCATCCCTGCCCAATGCAGCCCCCTGAGCATCACCCCTCATCCCACACCTGGGCACTGGGCCCTGCAGCGGGGATGCTGCTCCAACTGGCACCAAGTGCCCAGGCACCCCAGGTGACCGTGGGATGGAGGGGCTGGGGATGACAGGGCGAGCCCAACCCTGAGGATGGGGATGGTGGGGATTCACTGCCCAGACAGGACTCAGTGCTGGAGGTGGGGGCGGGGGGGGGGCCAGCCCCGGTGCTTGCCTTCCCAGGAACCGTTTCTGCTGCTCTCAGCAGCTTTGGCAGGGAGGGCTCCTTTGCAGCGGATGCCGGGAAGCGAGATGTACCCGGGGCTGACAGCTGCCTCCTGGCCGGCAACATGCACCATGCTCGCCCACGGCGCCCTTGGGCTGGCAGTGGGACCACGGGGCTCCCCAGAGAGCCAGGGCTGGTGGGGAGGGGGACCTGAACAAGCCCACGGAGCCTGGGGGGCTCCTAGCCCTGCCCTGAGAGCAGGGACCTGGCTAGAGAGTGGGGTGCTCCCCAGCTAGGTGGTGGGTGCACAGTAGGCACCCCGGCCAGAGAGGAGCATGTACAGCATGCACCCAGAACCCAGTGCTGCCCAGCACCCCGGCTCTGCCCAGAGAGCTGCACCCCAGGGTGCCAGCAACATACACACACACACAGCACAGGGGGCAAAGGGGGGGGTCCTGGGGGCAGACAGCCCTAACAGCACCGGGGTGGGGCTGGGAGATGAGGGTGCGTGCTGGGAGAACTGGGGTGGTGGTGGGGAGATGCTCCTTGCGGGCTCCTGTGCCGG